GGTGGATGCGTCTGAATACGCTGTAGGAGCGTGTATAGCACAACGCTTTGACAATGGGGAAGCACACCAGGTTGCGCATTTGAGTAAGAAATTGACTGAGACCCAGAGAAAGTGGGCTACGGTGGAGAAAGAAGCTTTTGCTATTATTTGGGCAATGTCGATAATGGATGACATAATGTGGGGAGTCCCAATATTAGTAATTTCCGATCACAACCCGTTAACTTATATGTTGGAGTCTGCGCCGAAGAGTGCTAAACTGTTACGATGGTCGCTGGCCGTGCAGCGGTATAACATCAGCATCCAACACAAGGCAGGTGCGTTACACACGAATGCGGATGCGCTGTGTAGGTGAGCGGGATGATCGAGAATTGGATGATGTTGCGAGTTATTAAAGTATAGGTATCAGTGCGTATGGGTTGTCTTAGTTATATACGTATGGTCGTATGAGTTGTTAGTGTTTTGTCCAAGCCCTGGTTTTGCTTGTGATTTTTGTTGGCTCAAAAAGTGAGCTCGACAAAATACCTTTAGGGGAAATTAAGGTGTCAGGTCCGAGTATCGGCTAGGACCTGCGTCTATAGTGGACACCGTAATGTTATGTTATTTCAGTTGGCTGTGGCAGACTTTCATTGGTCGTATTAAGTAAAATGGCTTCGGGCGGAATGTGAGGGATGGATATAAAAGCGCGACGAGGTTACGTGGAGAGGTTGACTTTTCTTTGTGCTTGCTCCGCGCTGGAACTGATGTATGTCGTTGAACTTTTGTAAGAATAAATTTGTGTTATGTCCATTATGTCCATGTCATACACGTTCTACTGGTAGTCATTCTCCTAGTTCATCTGAGGCAATGTGAGAGCTTACACTCACCCTCATTCTTCACCAACACATTTCGCCCTCCTCCTCCAAGCCGATTTACTCGTTTTTTACTTTTCTTCCCCAGAATTTTTCCGTCCATCTCAATTTACCAATTTTCCCCTGTTTCGCATCTCTTTCTCTCCCACCTCCTGTTCCCTCCGCTTTGATTTTTGAGGTTTGATTACAACCGAGTTTTAATTACGATTTGTGACCAAATTCCATGTCACTATTGACTGTGACTAGTGTGGGGTAGAAAGAGACAGAAAGTGAGCGAAAGACAGAACGATAGGAAAAATGGGGGGGGGGCCGAGAGAGAGAGGGCGAGCGCTAGAGCCACACACACACACACACACACACACACACACACACACACACACACACACACACACACACACACACACACACACAGAGAGAGAGGAGGAGAGAGAGAGAGAGAGAGAGAGAGGGGGGGCGAGGAGAGAGCGAGAGTCGAGAGAGGGCGAGCGCCTAAAGAGACACACCAGGAGAGAGCAGAGTAGAGAGAGAGAGAGAAGAGAGAGCGCGCGAGAGGAGAGAGAGAGAGAGAGAGAGGCGCGCGAGAAACGAGAGGCGAAAGAGGGCGAGCGCTAGAGATACCGAGACGAGAGAGAGAAGCAGAGAGAAGAGAGAGAGAAAGAGAGAGAGAGAGAAGAGTAGAGAGAGAGAAGAGAGAGAGAGACACAACGACACCACACACACGACGACAATACACATATATATAATCAACGTACATATAATCACGTCATGTAAGTTTTAGATATTAGTATGTATACGGACCGCTGTAAACACTTCGCACCGTGCAACGGAACTCATTGATTCACTCGACGCTCCACTCGATCGCAGCACTCCAAAAGACGGAATGTGAAATATCATATACGTACGGCTTGGCGTTCACCAAATTAAATAAACTCGTCGGGCTCAGCACGCTACGGTAGTTGAGACAATACTACGCGCGACTAATCACATTGTTTCAAAAGCTAAGGTAATCTTTTTATGATACAAATAATATAGTATGAGTGCGCATGTGTTTCGTGTGCGTGTGCGTAGCGTATGCGCGCAGTTCAATGTGTGTGTTCGTGACGCGGGCGCGCGAGCGCGTGTGTGTGTGTGCTGTGTGTGCTGTGTGTGTGTGTGTGTGTGTGTGATGTGGTGTGTGTGTGTGTGTTTGTGTGTGGTGTGTGCATCAGGGTGTGGTTGCGCGCTCTCTCTCGCCTCATCTCTCGTCCTCCTTCGTCCTCTCTCTCCCTCGCCTCCTTTCGTGTCTCTCTCGCCATCATCGCCTATTGCCGCGGAGCCCCTGACCCTACCGTTTCTCCTTATACTCTCTTAGCCTCACTTTAACTCTCTCTCCCCTCGCCCCCCGACAGCTGTCCTCTCTCTCTCTCTTTACTCGTCGTTCGTGCGCGCGTTCTTCTCCATCTGCGTCGCGTATGCTCCGCTCTCGCATCCTCGCTCTATATATACCCGTCCTTTCGCCTTTCCATCTTCATCGCCTTCTCCCCCAATCTCCCTCTTCCCATCCATCCTCAACACCTGTTCGCCCGCTCATTATTTCATCCTGTTTTCCCTCTCTCACTCACCTCGCTCATTTTTGTCTGTCTCTAGCGGCTCTCTTCTCGTCTCGTCTCTCGTCCTCTCTCTCTTCTACTCTCTCTCTCTCTTCTCACTCTCGCTCTCGCTCTCTATCTTTTCTCTATTCTCTCTCTTCTTTTGCTCGTGCAGGCTCTCCTCTCTCGACTCTCTCTCCGGTCTCCCGCCCATTTCCATCCTTTCTGCTCGTCCCGCCGCCATTTCTGTCTCGTTCTCTAACTGGCCACACACTCACGACTCTCTCTTCTCGATCTCTCCGTCTCGACTCTTCTCTCTCCATCGTGGTCGCCCTCCTCTCCGCCACCCTCATTTCTTTTCATCCACCATTTCGCCCTCCTCACAAGCCGATTTACTCGTCGTGGTTGTTTTTACTTTTCTTCCCAAAAACAAATTCCTCCCAATTTACCAAGTTCACCCTGTATCCGCATCTCTTTCTCCCACCTCCTGTTCTCGTCCGCTTTTATTTTGGAGGCTTTAATTAGCAAGCGAGTTTTAACTATTTGTCGACGCAAATTCCATGTGACTTAGTTTTTCCCACGCGCAAGTGATAGCCGCATGCTAGAATTATATACAGTTTCGTCTAAGAGTCGCTTATGTAGTAAACGTTGGCCGAACGTTGGCATGGAGCTGAAGACAGCCGTTGGGCCAGACATTGGCCCAACGTCACTATGTTATCTGGGATGTATAGGCCGCTGTAAAACACAGCGCCGACCGTGCACGACTCAAGTCGCGACGGCTGACACTCCAAAAGACGGTACATCGCGAATAATATATACGTAACATCTTTGCGCTCACCAAATTAAATAAATCGTTGCTCGCACAGGTACGGTAAGTTGACGACAAGTACTAACTCACACTGTTTCAAAGGCTAAGCTAGATCCCTTTTATGAATAGAAAGTAATTAGTGTATGAGTGGCAGCGTCAATGTGTAAAGTGTGCGTGTGCGTACGCGTGCGCCATCGCGCGCGTGCGAGTGTGTGTGTTGGTGTGTGCGTGTCGCCGCATTGATGTGTGCGTGCGCTTTAGCTGCGCGCTCGTGAGCGCATGCGATGCATTTTTTGGTGTGTGTGTTGGGCGAGAATGCTTATCAACATGCTATCACAGCATATGTAATCACAATGAAATTGACAATATTTAGTAGTTAGGCTAGTGCATTACTGAATGCAAACCTGGTTGAGTATATACCCATACACAAATGTTGTACGTTTACCAATGGTGTCTTGTGTTGTAACAAATATAAAACCAGTAAATGGGTGGCACCGTACCCCGGTAGAACATAGGATTGAAAAGACTATACAGGCCAATAGTTTATTGTCAATAGTATGCTATCATATGTATATATCATTTAAAGTTTGTCTTGCACTGAGAACGCATTTGCAACTACACAACGCATACTCCAACGTTGGGCCCCAACGTCGATGTGGCCGATACCACTTGCCCACCATGACCATCCCTGCCAAGCCATAACCGCAACGCTTGCCCCGCCCAAGTGGCAATAGCGAAGCAACCATTGTGGCCAACCCGTGACGCATCGCACAATGTAACTCATACGGCCACTTGGCCCAACGTCATGCAGCCAACACTACCAAATCCGTAACCATGGCCAACCATACACCACACCAAGCGTTGCCGCAAACGCCATGCTGGCCAACCACTGCCTCCTACATCATCAATACGCCAACCTATTAGCCAACCACGATGCTCATAGCAACTTATGCCAACCAACGTTGGCAATCTAGCATCATCAACCATCGGCACGCCAACGTTGAAGTTAGCAACCACTGTGCCACTAGCATACGATAGCCAACGCATAACGCCACACGTTCATGTAGCCAAACCAACTGCCAACTAGCATCGCATGCCAACCAACGACCAGTTATGGCAGCCAACGGAAATGCATACATTGCACGCCCGGCGAACCGTCATGCAGCCGAACCACTTGCAAACTACGCACATGCCAACGATGACGCCATGCAACGTTGGCCCAACGTCCATGAAGGCCAACCATTTTCCAACTAGCATCATGGCCAACCATCACGTCCAACGTTATTTACGCCATGCAACCACTGGCGACTAGCTTTGTGCAATAACATATCATCATCGCCACGTGGCCCCCAACCGTCATGCAAGCCAACCATTCCAACTAGGCATCATGCCAACCATACGCCAACGTCTGCCCAACGTAAGCATCGCTATCTGGGGATATTATTGTCTCAGGTGGCGATGCGTGGCGTGTCGTGCGCGCGTGTGCGCGCATATAACAACGTGTGTGTGTGTGTGTGTGTGTGTGGTGTGGTGCGTGCGTGCGTGCGTGGCGTGGTGGCGTGTGTGCGTGGGTGGCGTGCGTGCGTGCGTGCCGTGCTTTCGTGTTCCTATGCTCTGATTTGGTCATTAGATGGACCCAAGCCAGAGTAGACTGGTACCCGTCCCTTCTCACAAGTTCGATATAGGGAGCTCCCCATATCGAGCTTGTGAGAAGGGACGGGTACCAGTCTAAAACCAGAGCGCCCCACACGTGCCGCCATCTATAAACAAGATAACTAGTCAACGTGTTGACGATTCTGTGGGCGTAAACAGAACATCTTCATCCTGGTTTATCGTCTATATAAGCATTTAATTACTAATTATACTTCATCATGTCAAATCTCGATGAAGTTGAGACTGAACCGGGACTAGGAGAGCAAGATCCAGCGGCAGATTTCTTGGCTAGGGAGGAAGAGGTAGGCCAATCTCGCCATCACAATCACCACCCATCGCTTTGACACAGTTTGCAGCCGGTCAAATCGAAAACTTTGCGTGGTGAGCAGGTTTCACAGCCTCCCTGTGGCAGCTTCTGACTCCTGCTACGGTCTTTGCCACATTACATTTACATATTTCCACTAACATCCCTTGCCAGAAAAGCAAGTCTCTGTATGTTCTTCTACCGTCTACATCAGTACATACTACATGTCACATGAGTCTGGACGACATGATGATGAGTCATCATACATACTCGTGACTAACCCGACCAGGCTGTGTGACTAACGTCCTGATATATACACAGCCTTGACACCCATCCATTGGATAATCTTGTACCTGCTACAAAAACTGCCGAACAATTACGTTATCTCAAATAAAAATAATGCATCTGAAGCATTTCTGGCGCTGTTTTTTGTATCAATTATAACCTTCACCTATACGTATTCCAGCCGTTGTTATTAAAACTAACGGACGGTGAGTATTCGTCGCGAGCATCGGACACGGGCTGTTCTTTTATTTTGCTATTTTTTTGCGCTATTTCGTCCGAGCAGTTGTTGATGTAGCGGTGCCGCAGGCGGCACGGGCCTCTAGTGGCCGGAGATGGGAAGTGGTGAAGGGGGTCTGGGGGACCCGGCCCAGCAAATTTCTAAAATCTAGACGCTCCAAAAAGTGGTGTATATATGGTGTATATATATCCAAAAATATGGCTGTGGTTCTCACCATAGATAGTGTTTTGGTACTATTCATTCGCATCTATATAAGGCAAAACGCGATCGGTTAATGAGTTAGATGGAGGTTTAGATTGTGTAGTACTAGAGTTAGGTTAGAGTAAATAATTAGTGGTGTGGGTTAGTTTAGAGTTAGGTTGGGAGTAGCGCGATCTCCTAGACTAGGATTATATTAGCTTTATGTAATACAACCATGGAACAGCGCATGCGCAGGCAACTGCTCGACGAATAGCGCATATCGAACAGTGTCCGATGCCTCGACGAATATCCGACCGTACCTAAAACTAATACCGTCACGTTTGCTGTGGGGCACAGTGTAAATTTCAATAGCCGAACCTAAATTTCACTTTAACCGCCTACTGCCATGATTCCACTGCGCACGCGTTTCGATCGGAACGCGTAAAACCCGAAACAACATAACATACCGTAGAGTTGCAACTCGCATTGGCGCGAGCATAAATAAGCCTCATATACTCGTATATATATAAATATTAAAACATTGAAAACCAGGAAACATCATTCTACAACAACTTAATAATTATCAATACAAAGATATGTACTTGCCTTGTGTTTAGGCCTACACACTGTGAAAATCAGGTCCATTGCGGACACGGCGGCTGTCTGGTTGTTTTCATCCAATTCGTCTCAGAAAATATGGCATAACTCGATAAATAAGTAGCGCCCAGTAGTGCCCAGTTACCGCGAGCAAGCCAGAGGTTTATAGATTCGTTTGAGCTATTACATGTGACGCTAGCTCTAGTACTATAGCCCGCGTACATTGACTGCCGCAGGGCTATAGCACATTGTCGGCTGGAAATACCAACTGCAACCTGTCACCACCTGTCCCCACGAAAAATGGATCGCAAAACGCAAAATTATCGGGTTTTTAACACTTATCTATCTACGTGGACATCTCACCTATCTTTTTGAACACTTTACACAACTTTACACCATGTATTTATCCTTTTATTCCACAAAGTAAGCACTACTGGAAATTCCCGTTTGAAATTGTGGCGTGCGTACGCGTGACGTCACCGGTATTGTATAATATACATGCACCGGATCTGTAGGAAAAACACATGGCATGTGTATACAATACCGGTGACTTCACGCGTACGCACGCCAGAATTTCAAACGGGAATTTCCAGTAGTGCTTACTTTGTGGAATAAAAGGATAAATACATGGTGTAAAGTTGTGTAAAGTGTTCAAAAAGATAGGTGAGATGTCCACGTAGATAGATAAGTGTTAAAAAGCCCGATAATTTTGCGTTTTGCGATTAATTTTTCGTGGGGACAGGTGGTGACAGGTTGCAGTTGGTATTTCCAGCTGACAATGTGCTATAGCCCTGCGGCAGTCAATGTACGCGGGCTATAGTACTAGAGCTGTGGCGATGTTTGGATACCGAGCCAACTACAAGTTTTTATGGGTAAGAATTTGAAAACGGTCTTCTAACCCTAGCAAAGACCGTTTCTTGGAGCTGACTCGTGACATGGTATAACAGTGACATGATTTTATTCCCAGATGCCGATGGGCGATGGTTAACCATCACTTACCATCACCTCTTTTCTTAGACTGGCATGGCTTTCTGAACAGCTGCCTCTTACTTATGATTTTGCTCAATCCTAGACTAGTTTGGCACCCTCGGGGGCGGTAGTTCGCATAGCCATGTGCTAAACTAATCCGGGATATTCTAGGGTTGCGCCGTTAGTTTTAGGATGATTCCAACCTTGGCAGGTGGTGCATGCTTCATCGTACTTAGTGACTCCCTTTGCTCATCCTCACTGCTTACCATCACCATAATATTAACGAGTTCTATCTAAATTTGAGGCTTTGAATTCGTGATTCTGTATCAAAACTGTACAATCAACTTGGATATTAACTTGTATACCACTGATGGTGAGGCGCTTACAAGCTCGTGTTGATATATCTTTTACCAATGTAGGCCTGCCTACCATCCTTAAATTAATAAATAAATAAATAAATTGATACGCATTTCGAAATTCGTGACAGGTGTTGGCAGGGCTGGAGGAGGACACTGCTGCTGCTGCTGATGCTGTTGCTGCTGATGCTGTTGCTGCTGATGCTGTTGCTGCCAGCGACGACCAGGTAATCACGGATTTACTCGATGCTGTGCCAGATGCAGACACCGTGCTTCAGCAAATGGAAGGTGAGATTCTAGATATTTATTATATTTATTATATAATCCACGTGAGTATGTTTTTACGTGTAAGAGTGGCAGTAGATCGTTACCCAAAAGAAAAGGGGTTATAGAACTACAACAGATACCCTACCTACCCTGATTGGTTACATATTATTGTATCTAGAGTGGCAGTAATATAGCTGACATATTTTATCAACACCATGTCACAAAACTAGCTCTTATTTTCATGGTACCTAATGTGTTGTCATTTATATTATCACTCATTAGTGTTCTTCTTCTTCTCCTTCTTCTTCTTCTTCTTCTTCTTCTTTTTCTTCTTCTTCTTCTTCTTCTTCTTCTTCTTCTTCTTCTTCTTCTTTTTCTTCTTCTTGTTCTTATTCTTCTTCGTCCTCTTCTTCTTCTTCCACTTCTTCTTCTTCTCCTTCTTTTCTTCTTTTTATATTGATTTCATTGTATCATTTACACTATTGGTCTTCAGTCTGTGTGCTCACTACGTTACCATGCATCTTGTAGATGCTGGGGATGCTGGGGATGCGGGAGATGCTGCGAACGTCCATGCTGGAATGAATGGCTTCACAGCTGATGACCTTGCACAGTTTGAGTCCGTGGAGCCGGTTTCCGATGAACAATTCCTAGACTTTGAACAGGTATATCATTTGTATGTGTATCTCTCATGTATATATTGTCAATTTATCCCCAGTAGTGGAGGTGGTGGCAGTGTGTGGTGATGTTGGTGTTCATGATGGTGGTGGTAGTTGTAGTGGTAGTAGTAGCAGCAGTAGGAGTTTGTGTATGCATAATGCATATGAATTAGTGTTGTCAATCGGTTGTAATTTCGTAATCGATCATCGGTTGGACCCAAGTAACCGATGATCGGTTACAATCGGTTACTCGGGGTGTTGAATGCCTGCGTGTGCGTAACGTCGCGTGCATGTACGTGTGTGCATGTATCTGCTTGTTTAGCCCTGTTTACTGTTTGTTTTGCACTGTACACTATGTTAAAATAAAGGATAACTTGTATAGTAGCGATGATATCTCTGATTCTCATCACTTTTCCAAGTTTTCTTGTTCAAGTTAAAAAAAAATATATTATTATTTTTTGGATGAAATTGATTATGGATTTTGATAACCAAGCGCTTGGTTTGAGCCACTGTTCAACCGATGATCGAGTATAATCGATGATCGTGACATCACTAAGCGCTTGGTTCGAGCCACTGTTCAACCGATGATCGAGTATAATCGATGATCGTGACATCACTAATGTGAATGAACATGAAATACCGTTTACTGATTTGTGATGAATTTTAAAGGTCTAACAATGCTGTATTCAACAATTTAATACATACCAAAACCAAAGAATGGCTACCATGAGATTTCTCTGGTTTCCTCACTGGCTAAGAGTGAAATCTACTAAAAAATGTACTTTTGCGGTGTGCATGTAGTATGTTCTATCTACGCTAGTCATTCTCCGTGCATTTGTGATTCACGTGCAATACGTCACGTTATCCTTTTCCAGAATGACGAGCAGATGAATGGACAAGATGCCTATTCGGCGATATCGCAGCAGGATATACAGCGAGCGGAACCAGAGAAAATTCGCGTGTGGAGAGAGGAACAAAGGGCGCGGCTGGAGAAGAAAGGTTTGTCCTGAGTTTTTAGTTGACGAGAACGTTAGCAGATGTAGGGGTTTATTGACGTAATAACCTTTCAGTTACAATAGTAATTTGACTTTTAGGCACAAATAGTACACATTTGCTGTGAAGTGGCTGGTTTGCAATTTACCAGCATTTTCTTATTTGCTGGACACACGTATGTGTGTGTGAACGAGCTCAAAACAATTGATCTGCTTTTACTTTTTTGTTTGTTTTATTTTTCTTTTCCTCTTTAATTTTTACTTTTTAATTTTACTATTAACTTTTGACATTTTTTTCTTTGACTTTTTATTTTTACAATTGCTTTTTTAAAAACTTTTTAAACTTTCATGGTGCCGTGATATAGATGAGGAGGAACAGGTGAAACGAGAAGAGCTGAGAGAGCTAGCGCAGAAGGAATTGGAGCAGTGGTACGCGCAGCACACTCAACAAGTGGAGAACACCAAGAAAAACAACAGGTGAGCGACATCGAACAGACCAGGGCCGAGGGCGCTCGTTGTCAGAAACAAAATTAGTCCTGACATTACTTACTTAATTAGGCGCTTTAGCCCCATGAGGAGCATAGGCCATCGACGACGATCTGCCAGCGCACTCGACCTTGGGCTGTTTTTTCCTTCTTTCTCCAGGAGTGACCGCTTCTCTGCATTTCTGCCTGGGTGTCTCTATACGCCACGTGTTTCATGGCCTTCCCCTCTTCCTCTTTCCCTGTGGATTCCAGGTCAATGCCTGCTTGGTGATGTTACTGGCAGGCTTCCTGGGGGAGTGTACAATCCAGCTCCACTTCCTTCTCAGGATCTGTGTAGCGATTGGTTCCTGGTCTGTTGTTTTCCACAGTCCTTCATTAGTCCCAACATTAGTCCTAACATTAGTCTTAACATTAACTTTGACTCGTAGACCGTTGACAGAAACATCGTAAAGTTACGAGAAAGTGAAACATCCTCGCAAATTTCCTATATTGTGTTGTAAATAGCAGTCTAAATATCAACCTATTACCCAGTAAGATTTAGCAGACTGGTAGCCTTTGAGTGGGACTGACTAATTTAATGGATTTTACCATAGGTCATGTAGTTAAAATATACATTTTCGAAATCGGCAAAGTGGCTGTGCTTTCAGACTTGTTTCTAAGACTGAATAGAAATATGTACAAATGTAGAAATCTGGAAGATTAACCAACTAAGTAAAATTACAATCTTAAGAGTTCAGGAAGCAGTATAAGACTGTATACCCCGGCCGGGGCAGTGAATTTTCTCAAGGTGTAAAAACCTGGCTCTCAACATTGGAGACTGTGAATCTCCCGTGGCTCGGATGACCATGTAAAATGGCGGTCCCGTCTCCGGTAATACTAAGGCCAATAGGGACGTAAAAGAACCACCGAGGGCACAAAAAAACCTGGCTGTGACCACCCTCAGTGCCATTCGGCTAAAGGCTAACTACCTGGCTTTACCCAAGCTAGGCTGAGAGGGTCTCTGTCCCCCGAGGTACTGCTGGAACGTACCCTGGTACTATCTAATATGCCGGACCGTACCTCGCCTACTCCACTAACGAGTCTAGGGAGTCGCCTACGCCTACTACTAACCCTAACCCTAACCCTAACCCTAACCATATCAAATAGTTACCAGGGTACGTTGCGGTATACGGGACCGTACCCAGGGTACGTTCCGGCAGTACCCTGGGGGACATGGACCCTATGAGCCCAAGCTAGGTCACACCCCATGGCTAGCTATAGCCCTGCGTTATTATCCACGTAACCGTGGGCTACGCAGTAAACTATCCAGATCCAGTATACGTTCGCGTCGGCGTCGTCGTCATCGTGCGTCTGCTGCGACTGTTTTCGCAGGGTCGCCGAGGCGGCATTCGTCGAGGAGCGTGATACCGACATTCCGGGACAGGAGTGGGAGCGAATCACGCGCCTCGTAGACTTCAACCCGAAGAGCAGCAAGCATTCCAAGGACGTCTCGCGACTTCGCTCCATCCTGCTGCAGCTGAAGCAGCAGTAGCAGCAACAACAACAACAGCAGCAACAGCATCAACAGCAGCGGCAGCAGTAGCAGCAGTAGCAACAGCAGCAGTAGCAGTAGCAGCAGTAGCAACAGCAGCAGCAGCAGTAGCAGCAGTAGCAGCAGTAGCAACAGCAGCAGCAGCAGTAGCAGCAGTAGCAGCAGTAGCAACAGCAGCAGTAGCAGCTGCAGCAGCAGCAGTAGTAGCAACAGCAGCAGCAGCAGCAGCAGCAGCAGCAGCAGCAGCAGTAGCAGCAGCTGTAGCAGCAGTAGTAGCAGCAGCTGTAGCAGCAGCAGCAGTAACAGCAGCAGCAGACAGCAGACAGCAGTAGTAGTAGCAGCAGCAGCAGCAGTAGTAACAGCAGCTGTAGCAGCAGCAGTAACTGCAGTAGTAGCAGCAGCTGTAGCAGCAGTAACAGCAGCAGCAGTAGCAGCAGCAGCAGCAGTAGTAGCAGCAGCAGCAGCAATAGTAGCAGCAGCAGCAGCAGCAGCAGCAGCAGCAGTAGCAGCAGCAGCAGCAGTAGTAGCAGCAGCAGCAGCAGCAACAACGATAACAGCAGCAGCAGTAACAGCAGCAGCAGCAGTACTTGTTAGGTGGTGCTAAATGCAGCAGAGTGTCAATGTCGGAGTGTAGAAGTCGCCACAAAAAAACAAGGCTAGGAAAACAACATTCTGCTTGGGTTCGGTGTATGACCACGCTGGTGATGTGAAATGCATTCTGCGTGTGGCCTCACAATTTGTAATACATTTGGGAATACAATTTGTCATGGTGCAGAATACGGTAGGGCTGGGCATTGGTGTATGCCATCGTGTGTGTGTGTGTGTGAGTGTGTGTGCATAGGCACGATTGTGTCAAGTATAATGTGTAGTGGCATGTGTGTGGTCAGCACCTTACCATATCGTATCGATGTAATTATGTGAAAGATATAGGAATGTCGATTTTTAGCCGTGTGGAAGTGTAAAACGTGTTGTGCAGTTGTGTGTGTGGGAAATATTAACATGGCCGATAAGTGCCTAGATCATTTATTTCTTTATTCATGTTAAATTTACAATTACATTGTGATTAGAGTCTATTATATCCAAAATGTGTGGTCAATCTCTATCGGTGTGTTATCGGCGTAACTTTACATTGAAAACCCTTGTGATTTCTTTGTTATGCTATCCCAAATCTAATGGAAATTGTATACACTATAGTATACCCAATGTTACTGACACTCGTGATTGTGGAATTACGCCTGTACGTAATCTGCAAATTATTACCATTACATTTGGTATATATTATGTAGTCTGAAAACTGAGCCCATATGGACATTTTAACACAAAAACTGTGGTGTAAAACATAACTGAAATCATCGAAATTGATTTTTTCATTCTGGGCTGCATACAGCATTTAATACAACTTCCATAAATATGTCACATACTCAACACTGTTCCTAGCATTGGGTAAACTCAAATTGTTTATAACTTTGTGTATTTATTATCATATATCATAAAGTAATCGACGTACAGTATCGAGTATTGTATAAACTTTTTGTCTTCATTCTTAAATGTGTTACTTCTATGGCAGAAATAATTTATGTAAGATCATCTCTAAATTTACTGACTCATTAAAATACGATGATATCGCGTTACAGTAGACTTTTTAAGGGTGCATCCTAACCGTAACAGTATGATGATAACAAATACAAACAATAGCTATAGTGAGGCTAGATGATACGGCCATGATGCCGAGGATCGACACTTTGTGTCTTCCAACCACAGCCTACGCCGCACCAGTGTTTTATATTTTTAAATATGGGGACCCATTGGACCACCAAATCGCCGATCTCATGAACTGGGGCATTCTGCTATGTTAGAACGGTTTCCTATGATAGAGTTTGGCACAAATACGAAAATAACACGCTGTTTAGCGCACTGCGCTACGTCCTTCTGTTGAATTTTTGCATTTCCGTAATCAGAATAAGCCCCGCCTTCTTTGTTGATGGGCATGAATGGGGCGTCAACGACGTGACCCGTTACTGCGTGTAGGTGACCGACTAGTCACGAAGTACAAAGGTTTGTATATTGCTCTTATTTACCCGCCGATAGTTCTTATTTAGAACAGTCTTCATTGTTATCTTCTAAAACTACAGACCATCCGCTGACGGCTGTGGAGACGTGCGCCGGGCCTCGAATTTGGCGCACGTCTCCACTGCGGACAGCGCTTCATACTTGAACATCCCCGCGGTCGCATGCGCATATCTCGCAGAACTGCGCGTCTCATCCGCGCGCAGCGCTCAGGATCGACAGCAAAGCTGTGCGACGCAATCTTGTATCATGTCTCTCTGGACATCAGGGGTAAATTTTGAGGAGGTTATAATATACCCCTCCCTACCAATGAAGACCTATGAATAACATCCATGTCTACCCTAACATTTTTTTTCACGAGTCAGGTTTAAAAAGAATGGTATCGGTTTAACCAGTAATTCTTATATTGTAATCATATTATTTTGAAACAAATAATGTATGTGTAGTGAAATGTGCCTTAAAATATGGCTAAAATTTTGGCCATACTAATGCGAATAAGGTTCTTTGAAAACCTGTAAACCTGTGATTATTTTAGACGTGGAAAATGCTTTCCATATATATTGAAGAGCTATGAAATATATTCACTACGTTTACAATAAACATTTCTTACGTTTTTGTCTCAAATTGTTGTTCCAGAATAAAAATTCAAGAATATAAATGTATAATTTGCACAGTAAACAATGACAAAAATATTCCATTCCAAAGGGAGAAATTTATTTCAATACTCATCCAAGCACAATATTTGATACATGTTATACAAGTTCTCATCTCTGTATCTTTGTACATCATTTACATTTAAACAAAAATTGCTACAAACTGGGGCAAAAGTGTGCAAGCAGACCATATACCTACTACCACCATATTAGTAGTATTTTAAGTAATAGTAAAATAAGTGATCATTAGTTAATTAACTCACACATACACCTGATATGCAGTAAGAAAAATGGGTAACACTGCCCCATCGCTTGCTTCTCACTTTGAAATTCTAAATTGGTACATAAATAGCCATCAAATAATACAAGAAGATATGAAATATACAGTTGACAACTTGCTGCAAATATACATGTACAAATGCTAACATTACCGTTTTTACAAAAGAGGCTATTTATGTAGAACTCGGACGTGCTGGGATGTGGTACATACACGCACGCACGCACGCACGCACGCACGCGCAGGTACACGTGCAGCGATTGCGTTCTCTCCAGCACATACGCCTCTGCGTGATAACACAAGAACAGAAGGCATACTGGAACACACGCACCGGTGGCATACACATGACACAATGATGAACAAAGCCGAGTAGAAGAGAGAGAAGCGATATAGAATATATAGGCGTTGTTATTCTCGAGGCCTAAATAGTTATATACGGCGAACGCACGCGCACACAAGCACGCACGCACGCACGCACGCACTCACATATCGCACCATTCGCCACGATGCGGTGGCCTGCGTATACGCTATACACCACACATACATGCACGCACGCACGCACGAGCAGAATCTTCCTTGCACGCCTGCTAAAGCTAGGCCCCGTCTCTGTCTTTTCTACACGCAGCTCACTTTCACACCCTCCTGCCCCTCCTCCCCCTTCTTCATCTTCTTGCAAGCTTTCATGTCAGGCCTTCCTTTCCTTTCTGTTAATCATAGTTAGGCTTTAGCGTGACTCTCTACCAACCAGCGCATCTTACCACTACATACGAACCATCGATCTCCATCACCCTTAATACTTCACGAGGGAAAAAACGCACGCCTAAAGAAATTGTTTGCATACGTTCGACGACCACAATTATTATACCAATCATGCCAGTAATTAATTATAGTAGTAGTAGTATTAGGGGAGTAAACTAAATATATAATACGTAATGTCATAGTCTCATAAAAATCCAATTTAAAACGTCGTTACGATACGGATGATTAAAACGGACGCGGCGCGCGCGATTCGGCCGACGTCTCCGGTCCGGATCCGACACGCGCGCGGGCGCACAGAACGAATGTTCTCTCAGAGAAAGAGAAAGACAGAGAAAGAATACATAGATGATGCCAACTACCTTCTCTTCAAAATCGGTGCAGAAACGTGCACACACGTACGTACGCACCGACGCACGCACACACCGAAGCACGCACGCACGCACGCGTACGCACACAATGCTATTGTAAAGTGGGATAGATAGATAGATAGATAGATAAGATAGACGAGAGACAACCGTTTTATAATCAACTTCGTTGTTCGTTGCCTACAGTTCGCCGTAACAGTGAGACAAGAACAAGCAGTACTACTATCGCGCCTCATGTACGCACGTCGTACACTCAGTCTAGTGTAAGCAGGAGTACCCCCCCGGCGACACACCCTGTACATCACGACCACACAGCAGTGCGCGTAGCGTAACACTGCTACTGCATGAGCATCTAGTGTACAGCACACACTGGCAGGCGATAACGCTCCAGCGCGGTGTCACCGCGATAGCACACAGTTTCGTGCATGCAACCCCACAGCACTGGGCAATTCCTAACAAAGACAGTGCCCTCGGTGTAGTGCCTGCCACCAAGTGTGCGTCTAATGTGGTACCGAAGTCCAATAGAACAGTGCGTCTGATGTTGTACTGCCATAAACGCTCGCACATACGCACGCATGCATGCACGCACACGCACGCACGCACGCACGCACGTACTCACACACGCACGTGTAAGTGTAATATTGTGGGCACGCACACCGCGTCGCCAAGAGGTTACTTTCGTCGTTACTCGGCTGAATATCTCTCTCTAATTCGACAGAACAACCTCAGCAAAAATGAAAAAGCTCCAACACCCCTACATACCGCACTCACAGAGCCCGTCTTATAGGGAAGGCATTGTGCATAAATTGATCAAAAGAACGCCGCTTACCCTAACATCACGACGAATCAACACTTAGTTAATGATGATGATGGCCGCGCGTGGTTACGATTTACATCCACGCACACACACACACACAAACACACAGATATTACTCACAACACACCAACCATCTGACTAATATCGTTATACATTACCTACATCAATCATAATTGATACCCCAATACACCACACAATGTCAAATCCCGTTTATAATATATGCAGCATGACTATTTCTTGATGCAAACACCGACGACACACGCACGCACGCACGCACGCACGCACGCACGCACGCGCGCGCACGCTCGCAACTTCACACAGCTAAACTGGAAAATATTGCAGTGTACTTTATAAGCAACTAAAAGACACATTTAATCGTTATAATATGCACACAATATACACGAGTGTTGCACACACACACACAGACACACACACACGGCTGTGATATGCTAGGTCACACGCACGCACGCACGCACGCACACGCATGCTCTCGGTTAAACCCTAACGTGAAACGATGGCCAAGCTTACCGTGACTTGAACACGCCACCCGCCGCCTTAATAACACACATACACACGCACAATAATGCCAACTGCACTACTACATTCAAAAGCTGGCGAGTCAACCAAGGGAAAAATGAAAAGCAGCTTATAGCTTGACACGATTCCAGGGACCCCCTCTCTCTCTCTCCTCTCTCTGCGACACCTCCCGTGCCACAGTCACAGGGAGGCAGGGAGAAGGTCCGAGGAACCGCAGCAAGCAGAGAGGAACACAGCACCCTCTCTTACGTGCGTATTCACGACAACGACGGCACATAGAACGAAAAATAGTATATCCTCACATCGATCTATTTTTAGTGCTGTAATTAGTGTGTAATCAATCCTAATCATATTAATTAACGCCGGGAGTAACACTGCAGCGTACTCCGATACATTGATGCATCGCTCGCTAGTGTTATTCAGCGCAGGCGCGACCGATCTCTCCTTCTTCTCCTCCTAATCTCCCTCCCCCCCAAGTTATAAAATGTTGTATTAAATACAAATGAACATGCTACAAAATATGGAGTAATGACGGGACACATATTATATATATACGACTACGATTCCACTACACGAATAGCCATGCCGCTATCTACGTTTTTTTAACTTTCGCCGCACGCAAAAGCTCAAATAAAGAACGCTATTTCGTCATCTCCCACTCACTCTCGCTCTCGTTTTTTTCCCGCTTGTCTGCACAACGCGGCTCAACACACAGCTTCAGCTTCTGCTGCTGCTGCTGCTGCCATCTACACTGTCGCCATGACAACGTATCTGCGTCCCCTTGCTAATGTCAGTTCTTTTTCGCTTGCCCGTTTCTGGCGCTTCGCTCACCAGGTGTGGGTAGATTTTCAGTACTCGGTTGTAAAATGGAGAGGGGGGGGGCCACCACTGCCGCCGCCCCGCATGCTGAGAACGGGTCGATTTTCTCTTCGTGACAGAAAAACTGTACAGGTCCTTATCAAAAGTTAGTAATCGACAAAGTGGTAATTTTTTACAAACCTAGCACCAATACATATCTCATGTTCTGCACAACGAATACTGACGCATGGCTAAAACCTCTACAATTTTTTTTACAGCTGAACAAGGCCAAAGAAGTGTGCACTGAATGGCCCATGACTTTGTACAAGGCTCTAGGGTGGGGTACAAAAGATAGGTGTTACTTCTGCACAGCACCAGATAGGAAATTTTACAGGGGGGGTTACTCTCAAAAATAAAGATAGTTTTTACACTCTTGAGGCCTTTACAAAGATTTTACACGGGAGTTATGATTTTATTTACACTTTACAAAACCGAAAAAAAATCAGCACTCTTTGACTTCTATTGCTATATAAAATTAGGTGTTTTTCACACACAATAACTTATTACATCAGTTCGCCCCAAGCATGAAGAAAGAAAAAAGATAGATCTCGCGTATCTACATTTGTACAGTTGCGGCCGCAGCTCTTATTTTACAGGCAAGATACAAGTTACTTTATTACAAGGCCGCGCGCGCAGTCTGGTGGTCGACGTCGACACTTTGTACACATGAAATGCAAAACTTGACCATTGAAGCGAATTTGTACAATCCGGCTGCCATGACTGAGCCGTAACCCCTGGCAACGCGAAAGCCGGCGTGCACCCGTCGTCGTCGTCGCCGCCCCGCGCGCGTCCCGCCTCCGAAACGCGCGACGCCGGCAAGTGGCGACGCGCGTCGTGTTATGTACAAGAGGCAATACGACGCGACGCGTGTACGACTACGCAAAAATTTTTGTACGCAGAAATTTGGAGTCGGAAATTTTAGCGGCGCGATTACGCCGCCGGGCGCGCCTCCCGAGAGGCAACGCAAAAATTCAAGCCGAGAAAAGAAAAAAATTTACCGGAAAAAAACGGCGTGATCTTTGTCGCGCACCGCGCTTTCGGCGGCGTCGACGACAACGACGGGCGTCTCTCACTCTCGCGCCGGGGTTTCACAAAAAACAACAGCCTTGTGTTGAGCAAGCAGACGGTTTGTGGGAAGATGTGGACACACACACACTCTCACCCGGCACACATTTACACCTATACAAAGTTATACACATATTCATAACGCGCGCGCGCGTCCGTACGGCGCGCGCGCACGGTAGGCCTACAACACAAACTCGACGAGAAAGCAAAGCGCTACGTGTCAATTACCGATGATGACCCCACCCACCCCCGAAATAACACCCCCCCTCCCCCCACACACACGTCGAGCGCTGTGTGATGACGATTAAACGAATCGATTATCTCGAAGTACAGACAGAACGATCATGATTTCGAAGAGAGAAACAAAAATAGTATCGTGCGCGGTGCTGATCACCCATCTATCTCCCTGTCATACAGAGTGCGTTACGATATTATTATTACTCAATTGCAGTTAAAGGTCCTCCTTCATACTCCTACTCCTCCTCTTCCTCCCTCCTCTGTTTCATCAATCGAAATCGAATCGAAAATTCCGGCCTTGTTTACAAAGTCTCGTCAGCGGAACACGCGGGAAATCCGATTGGTCTCGAACCCCCGCGTCGACCGCAGACGTAAGAACGCATCCGACGCCGCACTAGCCCCCGCCCCGCGTGCGATCGTGCCAGCAGGGGGCGCCTCCACCACCGCGTCGCCCCGTTCCCAGCCTCCAGCATCCCAACGAATCACCGTCAACATGATCGGTACGCGCAACAACCGTCGGCTCCGGATTTCTTCCGTCGCCACGACAACTCACGCTTCGGCTTCTCCCGCCGCCGCCGTCGCCACGACGACGCCGCTCAGAGGCCGTTTGGCGGTCCGATCGGGCCGAGGTCGGCGCCGCTCTTCATGAAGAACTTTTCGAGCTTGGCGAGGATGTGCTTGCCGTACGTGTACTTGCGCAGCGTAGCGACGTGCGGACGGATCTTGTGCATGAGGATCTTGCGCTGCGCTGGCTCTGCGACGTCAATCATCTTCTGCACGACGTAGTTTGCAAACTGATCCTTCATCATCGTGTATAAGGCACTGTGTGCTCTGTGTGTGTAACAAGGAAACATATTAGCATTCTCCTTGTATGAAGCGTTAGATTTCAACACGTAGTTTGCAAACTGATCCTTCATCATCGTGTATAAGGCACTGTGTGCTCTGTGTAATTAACAAGGAGACATATAGCATTCTCCATGTATGAAGCGTTATATTTCAACACGTAGTTTGCAAACTGATCCTTCATCAT